CGCGACTGCATCAATGAATTAGTTGAGCTACGAGCCGTTCGCATTTCCTGCTCTTTCGGTCGGGTCGTGTCAACGAAGTTTGTCGGTTCTGGTGTGGTTTCTACAACCGCGCCGAGGCCAACTACAAGTTCAAGTGCAAATCCGCTTAGCAGCAATGATGAAGAGAATTAGGCAACAGGCATGAACCAGACGAAATTAAGTGGGAATAATTGATGCGTTTAGCTGACTTCAATGCCTGTGGGCTATTAGGTGAAATATTATTAGTTCTGTGATACTGTTGAAACCAGTGATTTCTTCAAGTTGCAGGGAAAATTTGACTTCAGCAGATGCTACAACTGAAACTAACCTATCCGATAAACAGAGGCCTTCAGTCGTCAGCGACCAATATGTCACACAGCCATCCAAATGAGCATGACGCGTATCCACTGAGATCACTTTAATCGCAAATATGAAAGTGATGGATGGAGGAGTGTACGACGCTGCAGGTTGAAGCAGATAACAGAAAAAGTGAGGCAGATGAGGGATTGGAACTCGGGCCATCTGTAGACACTGCACTCCGCTCTGTTTTTACGTGACTGCCAAGTGTGGATAGCGACTAGCTGATAAACCACGTATTAAGCTTGACCACCAAATACGCCGCAATTAATTCCTACTCAACTGGAACATGTTGGAATTCTGCATCCGTTTAAGTGGAGGCAGCTGGTGAAATCGTTTACGCTTTTAATGCTTATCAAAATGACAATGCAGCATGACTGATAGTGGAGCTATGAGTTGAGTCATCACCCAATGTCTGTTGTCGTCGCTACGGACTAATCTTTAGCGTTTCATTACCTAATTTGATCATCATTTTCAAAAGCTCGCAATTCTGGGAACACTGCAGCTGCTTCAGTGGACGGTACTGGCAATCTTGAGGAGTCATTGGAATTTGTGACGCTTCAAGATTAGGCAGAACCCCTATACTATCCATAATACCTAGAAGGAACCAGCTACATCGCTAAAAGTGCTTTCGCGACTGGCAAGCAAACCGCTCTACTCGAAGAAGCGTCCCATACGAACGCCCCGCGTTCTCAATCTGCACTAACACAGATGCGGTGATTGTGTCCTCAAATCATGTCTGAAAGCCTTTCTCGGATCACTTTTAGAAACTGCCTCCACATTCGAGCATGTTGCTGGTGAAATCATTATCGCCTATAAAATCCGTCGGCTGGATATCTGAAGATATTGTTATAATTAGCGTGTCATCGCTTCTACGTGAAACAGCTTCCAAAACGAACACACCACGATCTTAATTTAGACTGGCAAATTTGTGGTGACGTTGGTTGGAATCGTGTCCGAATGCATTTCATTTTCCACCTTGACTACGTGTATCCACTTACGAGTATCAATCACAAACCCTAACCGAATCACTCAAGCCCACTACCTCTCCTGCCCCGTTGTTTTCAGTTGACCGTTTGTAGAAAGCCTTTGTCGGATATTGCAGGGTGCAAGCCCACATGCTTCGAGCACCTTGCGTCTCCGGTCAATCGACCCTACACAACCAATTAACTGTCGCGCAAGACCGTGGTGTGCATGTGATTTGAATGGCGATCTGATTCCACTAGACATTGCCATCAACTCTCGAAGCCAATATTCCACATTGTTGATCACAATGGCTGCATAGACTTAAAGATTTCAGAGAGGTCCAGTTGAAATTGACCAATGTGAAGCGTAGCTAGCCACAGGAAGATGACGCATATCGTTAGAGATCACATAAATAGCCGATGCCTTGCCAGGAGGTACCAAGCTGAAAAGCTCTCCACCAACAGAAAATGGAGTTTTCGTCTGTTGTTTATGCATTTGAAATGAGATTCCTTCCACTTAGTCAACCCTATGACGACAACGCAAATTCCTCTTGTAATCATGATTGATTTGTCACGCGACACGCCTCACTGCAATGCCAAATTCCTTGACGTAATAAGTGCTTTCTCTATTCACGCTAGATCTTTGATTGATGTTTAATTTTAAAAAGGTAGACCCATTTTTTGTGAATGTTAATTTGGGTAGCAAACAACCACTCTTGATGGATTTCTCGGAGAGTTAAAACGGTGCCATTCGTTTTGGCGTATTAGCAGTGTTAACAGTGCATTAATGAAAGACCGTTCTATTAAACCTTCTACACACCACGGTGGTAAGTAATTTAAAACAAATTCCCTGCATTTACCGTCGTTTTTAGCTACTATTAATTGTGATTATTGGCGATGTGTGTCAGACGGTGTAGGTTGAAGCAGGTAATGGGAAACCAAAGTCAGAGTGGGATATGTACCCTGGCCATCCGCATACACTGCCCTCCGCACTGTCCATGCGTGCCTGCCTTGTTTGGATAACTGCTGGCAAGCAAACAGCCTGCTAAGCTTAAACATCGAACTTGCCACAAGTGCGTCCCAACAGGAGAACTCCTGTCAGGTGGGAAGCCAGTGGAATCCATCTCGAACTTACGCGAGGCCAATCAAAATTTATATTTCAACTATCGATTTCCTGATGCACACATCTAGCACTTGTAGGAATTCTGCAGCAGTTTAAGTCGACGCTGCTGGTGAATTCATTAACGCTTATAATGTTTACCAAAATCCCCATGCAACAAGACTGCTGGTAGTGTAATGCGTTAAGTCGTCACCAAATGTCTGTTGTCGTCGCTATGCACTAATCTTTAGCGCTAGATTGCCTCGTGTGATCGTCATCTTCAACAGCTGGCAATTCCAGGACCACAGAAGGTGCTTAAATTGAGGGCAATGGCAATCTCGTGAAATCTCTGGACTCGTTAACGCTGTCATGATTAGACAGAACCCACGTGATGCATTTAATACCTAAGAGGATTCGGTTGCATCACTGAAGATGCTATTATGTCTGGCATGGCAGCCGATCAACTCGAATACATGTCCCTCACGAACACACAGCGTTCTCAATCTGGACTACCGTATTTGTGCTGAAAATGGTGGTAATCTTGTACGAAAGCATTTTGCGTGTCACCCTGATGCATTGCACCAACTTTCGAGTACAGATCCAAACGTCGAAATGATCCATTTCAGTTATCTCCTTCTCCTCCCTGTAGCCTTCTACTGACTGTTTCAAGTGCTAATATATCTGATATTGCAAAGATGAAACCCACATGCCGCAACCATCTTCTTCCTCCAATCAAATGGCCCTGTGCAAACAACCAATCGACATCTGCATGTGCAGATCACCTGAATGTTGATCTTGTTCCACTTGACTATCCAACGGCATGATTGCAGGCTCCCACGATACAACTGACCAACCAAATGGCACTCTATAACCAATCAGATCTCACGAGACTATGATGTGCAGATGACTTGAATGCTGGTCTGATTCCACTAGACATTGCAACGCCATGATTGCACATTGCCTGCAACTCAAGTCAGGAGGTGCAAAGCTAATTTTCGGTAAACATTACGCGAATAGAAAGTTGAGTCCCTTGAGTCCCAAAGCTGCATCCACCTGGATTCATGATTGATTTGACACGCGACACACCTCACTGCCGTGCCAAATTCCTTGACGGAATAAGTGTTTTCTCTGTTCATGTTGGAACTTTGATTTATGCGTAACCTCAAAAAGATTGAAGCTAATCCTCGTGAATGTCAAATTGTGCAGCAAACTTTCACTCTTAATGGATTTCATCTCGAGATGGCAAAAGCAGCTTCACTCGTATTGGCGTGGTAGAAGCGTTAACAGTGCATCCAACAAAAATCGTTTGTCTGCTAAAGTCGAAAAAGTTTGGGTTGACACAATTATGCATTCATGTAGCCAGTAATTCAAAACGAATCTTAAACGAAAGGACCACGGATTAATAAATATTATGAAGTTTCGTGGAAGCAATCAAATGTAGAATCGGTCGGAGGGAGAGAGAGAGTGGAAATCTTGTTACGGAACGTGTTTATTACATTGATGACTTGGTTGCTGAAATGCGCCTCCGTAAATATGAAACCAGCCTTTCATTATCAGCTTACATTGAAAAAGCTCTGAAGCTCGATAGGATTATCACCTGAATGCCGCCATTACAAAAGGTTGTGAGGTAAGTTAAGAACTCCTACTGACACAGTCAAATCTTTGCGAATGCCTGGAGATTGTTATCAGAGTTGT